CTCCCGCGCAGGCCGGGAGCTCGAGCGCACGCCGCCGGGTGATCGCGAAACTCTCCTATTTTTTAAAGATCCAAGACCACATCTCAAAAACGTCTTCTGAAACGGATCCGAGAGCTGAGTATGTTTTAAAAGGCACGATCCCAAATATCTCCCTAAGAACGCTTGAGCACCTTCTGAGGGCCGTCTGGGGCACTGATTCGGAGCTTCTGGTCCTTGAGCACGTTGTCGCGCCATGAACCTTTCACCGGAGCTAATTACTATCAGCGCGCAGCCGTCTTGAAAACTCCATCTTGGACTTTGTATTCCCACAAGTTCTCTTTAGCAAAAGGGAAGGGATCAAGCCATGGAAGGTGGGATGGGGATGCAGAGAGATTTAAAACGTGCAGATGCCGAGTGCTTAGGTGCTGCCAATGTGTGCTAATAAAAATTACAAACTTGGAATCAGAGACAGGCGGTTGTATCGCAGGGCTGCCTACAGGTAGGCAAAGCTCTTACTTGCCATGGAGCATCCTTCTGCATGTGGCCTCTGTCCCCAGCTTGCAATGCATCTGCACAGGTCTTTCTTCTTCCTCGTAGAAGTTTTACCCTCTAAGGAATATAATGATGTTAGTCAAAAGGTGTGTGAGGCTGGTTCTATTTCCTGTGTCTCCTCTTTCAGTCATGTTTCCATTTTTGTATCTCTTCGGACAAATGAGAGGGTCTTTAACTCGCTGAAGCACGTGCAAGGGTCAGGGGTGAGCTCCCCATGGGTCCTAGCCGTGAATGTGCGAAGGATTGAAATCCAAGTGGTATTTACACACCTGGGGTCCTACTGTGCCATAAAGAAGCACGCTTTTACGTCATTTGGAGGAAAATGGATGCACTTTGAGACCATAGCGTGAAGGGAAATAAATCAGACAAACGTAAACGCCATGAAATACCATGATAATAAACATGATTTCTCTTAGATGAGAAACCCAAAGTATAAATTAAACAGCAAAATGGAAGATAAATAACAGGAAAGGGGAAGATTAGATTTTTCTTTTTTCAAAATGGGAAAGGGACCAAGAGATGGAGGGAGCGGGAGCCAAAGGGGATGGAGAAAGAATGAGTATGAAATGCAGGTGTTCCCAGCCCCCACTAAGAACGCGATCAGTGTGTACTGCAAACATGAGTTCTTAAAAAGCACTTCTTCAAACTGGGCGTGGTGGCGCACGCCTGTAATCCCAGTCCTCGGGAGGGTGAGGCAGGAGGATCGCTGAGAGTTCGAGGCCAGCCTGGGCTACATAGTGAGTTCCAGATCAGTCCCAACTACATTGTGAGACCCTGCCTCAAAAAAAAAGAAAAGCATGTTCCTCAAGCTCCTAGCAGAGTGCCTGACACACAGCCAATGCCAATAAATGTGAGTTCATACTTGTACTGTGATTTTATCCTTCTGGAAGAATAACCAAGCTTCCATGGCCCAGGCGTGGGGACAGTGTAACCCACAACCGGCTGTGTGCTGTGTGGAACTTGCTCAGCCTGCCCTGGCTTCCGGGACAGGTAACTAGAAAGGAATGCATTTAGCTCTCCTGATCCTTGCTAATGGGAGTCGGCTGAAATAGCCCGGGGATTATAATTTTAAGAACTCTGACAGGAAATATTTGCAAACACAAACTTCCTGAGAAGCCATAGTAGACCAAGGGACTTTGCTCAGACTTCTGGTTGAGTTGGGGGACTGTGAGGCAGGAGGACGCTGCTCAGCTCCCCAGGGAGGTTGGGCACCAAGGGTGTCTCACCTTCCTGGTGTTGCTCTCAGCTTGTTTCACGAGTCATCAACGGGGTCATTAGTCAACGTGTGCCCCAGTTGCTACTTCCGTTCACACAAATAAAGCTCCAAGAAAGTGATTCTTCCTATGAGGTTGTTGAGTTTGGTCATCAGCGAGCATGAGGAATGTGTAAGTTAGAAGAGGTTTCAGTCAGTGCTACAAATGATTCTTTTATATCAAACAAAAGATGTTAAGCTCTTACCCAATACAAAATGTGTTCTTATAGTAAAAATTGGATTTTGATAAAAGGGGAAAAGGCAGTAATTGATCCTGAAGATCTCTTCCTACACACGTGTAAGCACATTTCTCAGCTTGTATTTTGCAGCATTGTTTGTAGAACAAACGATTGGAAATAATGTCCATCAAAAGGGGAATAATAATATAAATCACAGAAGTTTGGCAAGGGAATATTACGGGGGCATAAAAAAGAATGAGCAAGCTCTGTATGTAACACTGTGCAAAGATCACTGGGTTATAGCATAAAGAAAAGAGCAAGGTGCAAAGGAGTATTGTAAAAGGGTGGAGGGAAATTTTATACATATATCCATTCAATAAGGCACAGGTTAGAGCTGAAAGGATACAGAAGAAAATAGTAACAGAACGTTAGAGATCAGGGACTTGATGATTGGGAACAGAGAAGAGAGGAAGATCTCACTTCATACACTTCAGCACATGTTCAATCAGGAATCTATGTGAATGCATTTTCTTTTCTAGAAAAAAATTTTTTAAAATTTAAAAGTACATTAAAGACAGTGATAAGTAGGACATCTATCAGTGGAATGGAGAGAAAGCCAAGGAATCAGACAACATTTTTCTGTTTTCCTGAACCTTGGAATTTCAAAGATTTCTAGAAATATCCTTCAGGAATGTCAATTATGGTGTCGGGAACATCTCTGGACACTCACCATCAGATGAATCTGAGTACCATGGTGGGAATGATAAAGGCATTTGTTGTCGTTTTACTGTAATTTTTTCTCGCGCTATCCTAGCAAACCCTTCTCCAGAAGCCGTGCTCTCTGCAGCTAACGTGGTGAGTGTCCTGCCAGTGCCCACCTCCGGGCCAGGGCCTCTGCCAGTGACTTCCGGATGCGGCCGGAAGTCTGTCTCCCTCACCAGGATCTCTCTGGTTCAGGGACGGCCAACCTGAAAAGGGCACTGGGTAAAATTCAGGAGCTTGTGACAAATGTTTCTTACTATATCAGATACCACGGTAGCAGAGAACTGGTTGAGGAAGTACATTGGGAACTACTCTGCATTGATCTTTGCTATTTTCTGTAAATGTAAAACTGTCCAATAATATGATGGAGAGAGAGAGGGAGACTAAAATTAAGTGCTTGTTATCACCAATTCTATTAGATTTTCAAATTAAGAAAAAAATCTTTAAATTATTTAAAAAATTATTTGCTTATTTTAATTTTGCCTCTTTTTATAAAGTATTTCCAGCTTTACTATTTTTTTTTCTGACTTACCCAGAACTGCTTCTTTCATGTTACTTTAGAAATTAAAAGATTGGCTCATAACATTGGTCTGATTAACCTGAATTCACCACCTTTTATTTCACAACTTCCAGTAAATTGGTCAAAAATTGCCATTTGGAGTTGTTTGTTTTCTGTCTTGCTTTGCTATCTCGGTAAGATCAGGCAAAGAATACAGTGTAAATATAATAGAGTGTGAATGCTAGTTTTATCTATTAGGCTCACCTATGATTTGAACTCATTTGAAAGATGTTGAAAAGATGCCAATAAATGAGTAGATTGAAAGGTTGGTTACAAAATCTCCCAAGTTGAACATTCTCCATTTACCTGTCTTTTTTGTTAATGAGAGTCTGAATTTTTTATTTTTGTAAAGTTTACCAACTTGGTGTTTTTGGTCTTTCAGAGAATCACACAAATGAAATTCATAATCCAGTAATTTTGCATTCAGAATAGCCAAGGACTAATTTGTTGACACTGCACAGCAGCCATATGATCTCTGCTTTCCTCCGCACATGTTTTCAGTTCTCAGGAGCTTAGAGAAGGACACAAGATGAGATTCCTCAATTGTTAACAGATCAGGGCAAGGGGAACTAACTCATCTTATACAATACTACTTCCGTGGAGCCGGGGATGTAGCTCAGTGGCACCGTATCAAGCACAGGGTCCTGGGCTCAATCCCCAGTGCCAGGAAAAAATAAAAAATAAAAATTTAAAAATAAAAAGTAAAAAATACTACTTTTTCAGGCTGAAGCAGAGTAAGCACATCCTTTAGCACCCACAGAATGTATGGTTTTTCCAGGATCTGCTAGACCTTGAATTTCTCTTCCTGGGACAGCGCTGGACATGGATCAACAAAGGTACAACATCAAAGGGTGTACAGCTATTCTGTGCACTTCCGGCACACTTTTCTGTAAAGGGTCAGGCGGTAAATACTTTGGGCTTTAGGGACCATGCCAACAACCTCACCGCTCAACTCTGTCCTTGAAGATTGCAAACAGACACAGGAGATAAACGGGTCTCAGGGTGCAGTCTGACAATCTTCTGACCTCTGTTCAGTTTGCTTTGTTTTTAAATTTCATCTCCAAGCACATCATTCCACCCTGGGGACAGTGCCCAGGGCGGCTTACATCTAATTAGAACTATTTATGTCTTGTGTGAAGATGACTTGGTTTCTTTTGTTGCGGAATAGAGACACAGGCTTCGGGGCTGGAGAAATATGGTTGGAATTTCAGTCCTGCCCTGCAGTGGCTGTGCGGTCTGGAAGCTTCCTTCTCTCATCTGTGGAATGCAGATAATAAATCCTGCTTTAGAGGGGGATGAAATGATTGAACGAGAACGGATGCCATGCACCTGACACAAAGGAAATGTTAAATTGTTTTTCTTTCTACTAGAACATTCTCCTGTACACATACATGGGAAGAACATCTCCACCTCACCCGCGTACACCCATAAACCCTTTCTCAGATCTCAAGCAATTTAAAACGAGTTCTAACGAGCTGTAGCTTCAGATGATTCTATTTTAAAAAAATCTGTCAGTTTCTGGGAATGCATTTTGTACAGTTCTTGCAGCCTTTCACATGCTAACCGTAACCTGTCATCAAAGTAGCCAGAGGCTTTGATTCTGATGAGTCGCAGGGAAGTAAAGACAATCTAGAAAAATATGTGACCAGATTTGCAAGGGCCACAGAGCAAAAGAGACCTTAGAGAAAACAGTTACGACTTTATCTGATGTGTGCTGTGACCATATCTAAGCATTTAGAATTGGTTTTAGTGTAAAAGTGCATAGAGAATTCACTTCCAGTGCCCTAAGTACTGCATTGTAAAAACAATATACTTGAAATTATTGCTCTTGGAAAACTGTAACTAAAAATACAATACACACATGAAGCACTAGTCGTGGGAAATACGTTCATAGCTGGGGAGTGATCTGGTGTATTTCCTGACATGTGTAAACATACTTGGATACCAAAGAATCGAGTGCATTTAGCGTTAGACTTTTGTAGTTGGGGAATATCTAATTCTTTCTGTATTTAAAACAATTTGCTTCCTCACTAGAAAAATTACTGTGTTCAATATTAACATGGCTATTTAACATGTGTAACGTAATAATATCTTCAAAGAAGTAGTGTAGTACAAAAGCAATACAATTTTGTGAAACAAAAAGCAACCCCAGAGCTGGGAGAAATTACCTTTTCACGCATCAGAGTTGAGGATTGGGTGTCTTGGTCAGGGGTTCTTGTTCTTCATCCCAGGCATCAGTTCTCTGATATGTGATGCACTACATCTGTTTCTTTGTTCATTTATTTATCCATTTACTTATTACATATTTATTAAGGCACAAACAGTACACGAAGGATTCAGAATATACTGTTTTCAGGGGTGAACAGATGAGTCGATCACAATATATTTTCCAGACACTGTGGCAGAAATATGTAGCAAGATTCCAAAGAGCAATGAAGAGGGAACGCCTGAGGCTACAAGGTGCCGACAAGAGTGTGGGAGAGAAGTCGTCAGGCGGGCTTCCCAGAGAATGCAAATGGTGCCTGGGCTGGGTAGGGAAGTCCCTGTGGTGTTGTGAGGGTGAGGAAACCAGGAATCGTAGACACGGTGGGCCATGTGACCTAAATCAAAGGGGCTCACAAGTGTACCCTGCATCTCGGTGTATTCGTGAGCAGTTTGATGCAGCTAAAATGTGGTGGGGGTGGAAGTTTCTTGGCATAATACAAGGCTTGGTCCTTAATCTAGTCGGTCAGTGATTTCTTGCCCATCATACTAGTTTTTCTGTAAAAGTCTACAAAGTCTGTTTTCAATGGCCAAAAATATAGATGTGTTTGTAGGTTTAAGCACAGACAAGCCTCCTATGTTGGGTAAATGGAATTTATTATAAGAGTTCTACTCAGGAGGCTGAGGCAGGAAGACTCTCTCTCTCTCTCTCTCTCTCTCTCTCTCTCTCTCTCTCTATATATATATATATATATATATGCATTGAGACAACTTAGTGAGATTGTTTACATTTTTAAAGAATAATAATAATTAATATTAAAAGGATTGAGATGTAGTTTAGTACTCCCTGGGTTCAACCCCCAGTATTGCCTAACTAAATAATAAACATGTTAAATAAGGGGACGAATACAGGAACTATTTTAATACAACAGTCAGGCCGCATTAGAACTGGGGCACTGTTCATTCATCTCCAGGATTATATAGAAACTCTGGTGCCCCAGAAGCAATGCTAGGGTTGTCATCACATGGAACCACATTCATTCTTCCTACACAAGTTCTCTTGTGTTCATTTAATTCAAGTTTTCTCTCTTTTTGTTTTTTGAGACAGTATCTCACTTTTTAGTTCTGGCTGGCCCTAAACTTACTGTGTAGTCCAGGCTGGCCTCAGACATCCTCCTGCCTCAGCTTCCCTAGTGCTGGGGTTACAGGTATGCACTACCACTCCCTGCTTCAATTTCTCCCTTCTCTGCTTTTTCCTCCTGCTGATAATATTGCCCTCCGTCTACTGCAAACTTTGTCGGTCCATTGGCTTCTATTTATCCATTGCTTGTACTCATGGACAATGCTTAGTTTCTGCCCAGTTCCGGGCTCCTCCTCCTCCCTTCCTTGTGTATCTCTTTCTGAGCACTTCTATGCAGAAAAGCAGTAAGGGGCCGCTCAAGAGTGCTGATCTCAGATCTGTCTGCCAGGCCAGCATCTCGGAGGTTGGGATTCAGGGGGTTTCTGGTCACCCCTGAAATGCTGAGTTGCCCACTGTGTCCGCACCGACCCTGCTACACACTGCTCTCCTTCAGGCGGCCAGGGCCTTAGCGTGTGCCCAGCCCTAGGTATTGACCCTGCCTGGGCACTGGGTCTGCAGCTAGCTTCCCAGGAGGCAACCTACCTGCTGTCCTGCCCACTGCTGGAGGGGCCTCGTTAGGAGAAGACCTTGGAAGTCGCTGGTTTCCTCCAGACTCTGCCCTCGGTGCCTTTTCCTTGTGATGAGTCTGTTTCCTGTCACTGTCACAGCCGTAGGTAAGACTCTTACGTCCTTCGCATCATCAAACCTAGGGGTTGGTGGTGAGGACTGCCACACAGCTTCCCCTGGGACTCCTCGAGGAAGCTCATCCTCCTCATAGCACACGGCCGGGTCGTGATGCTCTGATTTCCGCTGTCTCTCATCTTCATCTAGTGTCACCCCCGATACACACGCTCTAATTACTAGTTACACTGGATTCCCGCCCGGTCCTCATCCGAAGACTGTTCTCATTCAAAGCTCTGGACTTCCGTTTCCCTCTGCCTGAGCCTTTTCTCCCAAATACCTGCCAGGTCAGCTGCTTGACCGCATTCCCATCTCCACGCTTAACTACTCTCTTCTCCCGTGGAAATACTAGAACACTGACTTGAGGGCATAGCACGTGGCCCCAGGCATCAAGGCCAACCGCCCAGCTGCCTTGCTGATGGCTGTGGCTTTGTGACTAAGTACAAGCCAACAGCATAAAAGCAGAAGCCATGGTTTTTGTTCATGCCCAGCCATTTTGGATTTTTTTCTCCCTTAAAGTTGGCACTAATCCTACTAATATAAGTCCTCATCTCTACTCTCTTTGAAGTCAGATGCAGAGCAACCTCGGACAATGTGGTACCACCTAAACTCCATTTTGTGGGTGTAACAGAAAGCTGCCCCATGGAATATTGTTCCGTGGGAATTCTCAGCTGTGAGAAGCACCGGAGTAATGCTCTCCAGCAAGTCACATCTTCTTGTGGCCACACGCTTTGCTGCAATGTGATGTTGTTATCTTCCCATCAAAAGGCAAAGATAGGAGACAGAGAGAAAAAGCAGAAGTTATCTCTTCACCCTTTGAATCTGAGTGGGACCGGCTTTGCCCAATGCTAACTCCACACTGGTCCTAGAGTCTAGGCCTGAACTTCTACCCATCCTCTCAGAAGCCAGAGGTCATCACGCTGTGAAGCTGGTGAGGTTTAGAACAGCCTGGAAGACCCCAGGGAGGACACTGGAGGTGCCCCCTGCAGAGCCAGGACCAGCCAATAGCTCTGTGAGTGAGGGCTTCTGGCAGTAATCAGATCATGATGGCTCTAAGTTCACCAGCGCATTCACTTAACTGATGTATTTATAACTTGATGGCCATTGAGAGCGGATGAGGATTTAACAGGTAAGGCCTAGCTGAAGGAAGGGCATGATCTTGGGACTGTATCTCTCTGGTCTTTCTTGCCCTCTGCTTCCTGGCTGCCAAGATGTAAACAGCTTTCCTCTGCTGTGCTTTTCTGCCACAATGTTTCCGCCTTGCCATGGGCTGAAAAACAACAGAGCCAGCTGACTCTGGACTGAAAACTCTAAAACCACGGCCACTATAAAGCTTTCCTACTTTAAGTGGTTTTTCTCAAGAATTTGGGCACAGTGACGAAAAGCTGACTGGCGTGCCTTCTCAGGCCTTGGGCCTCAGGTGAACTACCAGATGACTCACGACTTGAGCCACAGGAGCAGCTGACAGGTATGAGAGCACAGAGTTGCTGTTTTTAACTCAGTTTTGAGAAGTTTTCTGTGCAGTACCCGAAAAAAAAAAAATCTGAAAATGAACAGTGATTTGATTAGGTTTAATGACTTCTAAAAGGAAACATATAAGCTTTAGCTTACCACTTTTTTTTTTTTTTTTTTTTTTTTTTTTTTTTTG